GTACATCGAAAATCATGAGTTCACACTAATACCTACATTCCCAACCTGATCCTGCGGGTTCATCTGTTTTCTTTCCCTTTCTGAATCTGTAGTTCTGCCCCCACTTCATGGCTTTAGAACACAATTGTTTAGTAAGAGAAGGGAAGAGGAACTGCATTGTACTTTGATGGTTGTTGCCAAATTGCCCTCCATAGAGAATGTACTGGTTTACACTTTCACTAGAAATTTTAGAGCTTTTTTTTTTTTTGCCAGTGTGATAAGTGAAAAATATCATTTCCAATGGTTTAATATGTATTACTATCATTGTAAGATAGTTTATTACTTTTTAATGTTTCTAATGAAAAACAAAGAAGCTTGATAAGGAAAGAGTGTTGTCATTGAATTTAACTACTGTCCCTCAATTTCTGTCCTAAGGAAAACAATAAAAATGAGTAAAAATGCCTGTTAACATTGGGATGGCTGCCTGGCTCTTGTTGGCAGAAACTGGGTTGCAAGCAATGGGTATCACTTCTGTTGTCTGTTCCAAAGGACAACTGAATTGCCCTTGTCCCCGAGACTCGGCCGTCCACATGATTTCTGAAGACACGCCCTGCATCAGGGGACAGGAGCTGGTGGGTTGCGACCAGAAAGTCAGTTATGCTTGGTGCTCTATTTTTGTAGGAAATAGACTCTGGGACAGGAAGTCTCTGGACACTTGTCTAAGCATCTCTAAAATTTCTTTCTTGTGATTAAAATGCTTAAAGTTTAGGCAACCCAGAGAAAAAAGGCATTTCTAATTTTGGCAGATCTTAAAACAATCATATATTAGGTTAAAATTACCCACATGTGACCTTTTTGATTAACTTGCAAACATGGCAATTGCATATGAATCATAGAAAACTTTTGTTCCTGTAGTTCTCTATAGACTAAAAAAAAATTCTCTTCTTCACACTTCCCACTCCACAGCTCCTTGTTCACACACTTCCCAGTTCATGCTGGTGCTTCATGGAGATTTTTTTTTTAAATTCTGCCTTACATTTTAGGTGGACGTTAACTCTCCTCCCACATTAGTCTGCAGACTCTCCAAGGGCAGAGACTGAGCCTTACACACTGCAATGCCCTGGACCTACTACCAGGCTTTGTGTAAAGCAAATCCTTAAAACAATTTTGTTGTTGTTGTTGAATGAATTAGCAAGTGAATGAATGAAGAAACGATTGCAGTGGGCATGGAAATGGCCATCCCACAGGAAGGCTATGGAACCAAAAGTTCCTACATCTCTTTGGAGGCCAGATGCTCAAGGGACTCAAGAGATCACCCAGGAGCCACAGCAGCCCTCATGCTTGGTATGTTTGGGCTGAGCCTTTCTATACACATATGCAAACACACACACACATGCAAATGCGCGCACGCGCGCACACACACACACACACACACCCCACACACACCCCAGCCCAGATGTTCAGCCCCAGCCAACAGGAGCAACTTGCAGACAGGCTGCCTTTGCCGGAGGCCGCCCAGGGAAGCTCCGCTGGGGGAAGTCCACACTTGCCAAACCTTCTGCGATGCCTGCCAAGCTGAGAGCCATTTCCTACCCCAGCCTCAGAGACAGTTCAAGCTGCCCCAGACGGGCTGCTTGGGGCATTCCTACATTGTGAAATTTCCTTTCCTAGGGCTACTGGGTGTCATGGGAAATGTGAAAGTCAAACAGCTGTTCGCTCCTTGGTGTGGGATGGGATGGTCCCCAGGCCCGGCAAAGCCTGCGATGCTCCTCTGGCCAGGAGCTTGAAGGAGGCACCAGGCCTGACCTTGGAATGTGCCATATCTTGCCCCAGGTTCAGATTAATTCCTTGCCTCAGGAATTTAAGATGAAATTCCATATATACATATATATGGAAAAGTCAAAACAGTGGTTTCCCCTTCTAATAAATAACCCACATATTTTATATATTCTTGACTTCAGTTTTAGAGGGGAAATCACAGTTTTGACTTCTCCTCTCAAACATGGACATCTTGGACATCAAACTTGGACAGTTTTTAATAGGACAAAGGCCGCTTTCTCAGGCCCTCTCTCCCAGAGCTGGATGGACCCCCAAGCAGAACCAAAGCTAATTGTTTTATGAGCCTTTATCCTCAGGACTAGAAAATTACTGGAAGTGCCCTAAAGCACAGAGCCTCCAGAAACTTACAAAACAGGACAGACCAGCCCACAATGACTAGAGGACAGAGGACTGTCTGAGGGCCAGACCCTGCACCCAAAGACAACATCGAAACACGGTGCAGCCCAACTGAAACATTGGCTCTATGCCGCCCATCGCCCGATAAAACTCACAGCCCCGACTGCGCAGCCCTGGCTGGTGCTGGTGCTCGACTCCACACCGAGCCTTTGCCTCCCCTGGGAGGGTAAAAATAAGAGACTCTGCTCTCTGCTCTGCTCTCTGTGAGTCTTTTCACAGCCCGCGTCACCGGCCACCCTAACAGTTTTCAACACGTCTCTGTTAAAAAAAAACAAAAAAACGAGCTAACATAGTTTAAAAATAAAACAAATGTGAATAAAAACAGTATCTTTTCCTTTCAACTGGCATTTTTTAAAAACCCTCACCCGAATATGTATTTACTAATTTTAGAGAGGGAGAGAGAAACATCGATCGGTCGCCTCCTGTACACGCCCCACCCGGGGATCAAACCCGCAACCCAGGTGTGTGCGTTCACCAGGGATCAAACCCACAAACTTTCAGTGCAAGGGGCAATGCTTCAACCAGCTGAGCCACCCAGCCAGTGCCCCAAAGGCTGTTTTTTAAACTGATGATTACCAATGCCAGTGAGGTCGCGGGAAAATGAATCTTGCCAATGAGAATATGATTTGGAAAAACTTTCATTGTGGGCAATTTGAGGTATGTCAAAAGGCCCTAAAATTCACATTTCTTTTGATCCAGCAATTTCTTTTCTAGTAATTGATTCTAAAAAAAAAAAAAAAAAAAAGTAAATGCTATCAAACCATTGATCATAAGAATTTTTAAAAAATGGCAACCTGAACGGCCAAATAACTAGTATGATCGAACACTTTACAGCCACACAGTGATGTTTTATGGGATCATAATAGACTGTGAAGTTTAAAAAACCAAAATACTATTAAAAAGCAGTCCTTTTAAAGAGGAAAATACATAGAGTCATAGGAGAAAAAGAACAATACTGCCAGCAGGAGGTGGTATTATGGGTGTTTTCATTTTCTTTCTACTGAGATACCTTGGCGTATTCGAAGGTCCTCTTAGGTAGTCTGAGCAAGCCCCTGAGCGGTTGGTGCTACTTTTGCTGCTGTCTCTGGGTCTCAGATGCCCTGCTGGGAGGTGGGGGCTCAGCAGCAGGGCGGCAGATTCCTCCCCTCCCGGCCCAGCCACCTTTCCCAACCTGAGGCAACCACTTCAAAGATAGCCCTTCCCCCAGTAGCTCTGCAGGTTTTGTGGGCTTTGTAATCTTTGTTCCCCACCCACCGCCTGCCATCAAGAAACAGGCAACAACCCCAGTGTTGACCCCATGTCGCCATGTCTCCCCTCCCAGCATTCCTTACCTGATGGGACTTGTCTCTGCCCTTTTTCTACCTGAAGTTTGTTGGTTAGGAGAGACTCCGAAAGGCAGAAACGGGGCGGGGAAGGCCTGGGGAGGCGGGGGCGGGGGGGGGCGCGGGGGGGGCGCTAATGGGGGAGTGAAGGCGCAGGGGAGGGAGTCGTTTCAGGGGAGCTACCTGGGTTTGAGTGGAATCCTGCTCCACCTCGAGCAGGTCAATGCACGCCTCCATGCCTGGGCGTTGTTACACGTGGCCCGGCTGCCGGCAGGGATGGCGCCTGCCGCCTAGGGCTGCTGTGTGGATTCCACACTAAGTGCTTGCCGTGCCTCCTACCTTTTAGTGTCTTTCAAGGGTCAGCTATCATCACCATTGAAGGGTTGGTAAAACGCTCCTCCTTCGCCCTCCTTGCAACTAACTCACGGCAGTGCTGTTTGTGTGGGCCCTCCTGTGGATGGGGAGGACCGAGCTTAGGACTAAAATGCTTTCCCACTCAACACTGCGCTGGGAAAACGCATCCTGACCACTGCACCCAGAGCCAGGTTCAGCAAGGCCGCCGATACTCTTTGCCCCAAAGTACCCTGTAAAATCCCTCCAGCGCCCTTACCACCTGCCGTGACTGCTCCATCCTGTCAAACGCCCCGACCGGCAGTGACCTCTTCACCTCCACGTCCTCTGCCTCTTCCTCCCCCAAGCAGGTCTCCCACTTCTCCATCTCAGACACTCCTGCTGTTCGCCAGCGGCTCAAGCTGTCTTCTTCCCCGCGAGACCAGCCATTCCTTCCACGGTCTCTGGGCACAGCACAGCTTCATCCCATGACCTTCTCCTCCTAAGAGATGGAGCGGGCTCCGCCCACTACCGCCAAAAGCAGAGCTTAGTAGGTCCACCCACAACTTAGAACTGCCAAGGCCGTTCCCGAAGCTCTCAGAAGGGAGGCTCGGTGGTGAGGGCCCGCACGCCCGGCCTGCCCGCCTCCCGCAGCGTGTGCGCGAGCCCCTGCCCTCGGCGCGCCCTGCCGTGTGCTCCCCTCCGCCTTGCTGTGCCGACCCTTCACCTCTCTGCTCAAGTGCCATTTTGCCTGGAAGGAGCTTTCTGACCGCCCGCCCCCGGCCCTTCCCCGATGGCACGGGCCACGGCCCACTGTCGAGGCCGCCCGCCTCCCGGCACATCAGCCGGCCACGCCGGCCCCAAGCACACGGTCTGGCTCGTTGCTGAATCCCAGCTTAAGAACGGTGGATGGCCCGCTGAGAGCATTTTCAAAGAGAGAAATAATTTCCCCTTACATTTGTGGTCCCTCTTCCGTGTAGCATGGGCCACCTCCCGGTCCCACCTCCGTTGCCAGGAACCCCTCCTCCCTGAGCTTGTGCTCCCTCTCTTCACGAGCTCCTACCCACAGACCACCTTTCCAATCTTGGTTTCTATAAAAACTATGAAAGAACCACATCTCTCACAACTGCCTCATAAGAACTTTTTTAATTATTATTTAGAAATGCAGTTATATACATAGAACAATTAAAATTAAATTAAACTTTGTACAAATATTAAAATACTATCTTCACACCCACTGCAATGTACAGGATACCAAAAAATATATATATATATATATAAAATAAAGCAAACCCAAACTGATTGAGTGAGATCCTGCACAGAGTCAATGAAGCATGTGTTGTTTTAAACCATTATGTGAGTACCATTCTGCAAGTCCACAGTGGTGCAATAAGCCAGGGCAGCGTGTGGTGGGCAGCCTCGCACCTGCATCCCTCTCCCCCTCTGCTTGGCAGGCCAAGTGCTCTGCCCCGCCCCCGCTCCAAAGAGCTCTGCTGCCTGGCGCAGGGTTCAGCTTTGGGTTTTCATTCAAAACTCTACTAAGTTTTCAACTGGGACTTAAGAGCCATTTCCCAGCAAAGCGGAGCCTGCCCAGCAAAGTCCCCTCTGAGCCCGCCACTGAGCACCTGCAATGACTGTCCCCGAGCCGGGAGCCCCAGCAGGCCCCATGAGAGGCTCCCAGCGGGAACATCTGGAGCTCAGCTGGAAAGCCTGCACACCGCCTCCCTTCTGGGTCCTTTATTCTCTTTGAGGAAAGAAAGGGCAAGGACATAGAAATGTTCGCAGCATGTTCCCCTCTGGATGTCCGGGTGTGACCTGGGAATGGACGCTGTCCCTGCGAAGCAAGCGGCCTGAGGGCTCGGCTGGGGCCAGGAGGGGGCTGAGGGCCGCTGATCCCTGTGCCGCCCCTAGTGAGGCAGCAAGAGTGCGCCTCTGTCTGCCTTGCTGTCCAGCTTCTCCACAGAACTTTAACGACGGGGGCAAGATGCATGGGGAAGGTGACATTAGTTCCAGTTTTGTTGCAAACGGGTTAGTAGAACACATGCTGAAATGCCTTATAAAAAACCAGAACTCATGGAGCGGCCAGGACTCAGCCCATTTCACAGTTCACGCCGTGTGAAATGGGAACGTGGCACACAGAATTTGGAAATGGGAAAAGATAGAGCCTACTTGCTAAACTAAGGCATAGAAAGGGACGGAAATTTTAAATGATTTTCACCATGTACTGGCCCTTGTAAGTCACTGGAATGTAACTTCAAGTTGCCAGGATATAAAACCTGCATTGAGTCAGCTCACATGTGCAAAATAATATCTTTAAAAAACGAAGTCCTTTGGTGCTGACCATTCTCCTGGACAAGCCCTCTGCGCGACTCCCCCAGAGGTGAGCCCAGAAAAGCCAGGTTAGGGACAGTTTCCCCCGCTGCTCCAGGGTCCTCTGACAGCCTGCCACCCAACACTGTCACGTCTCCTAGCCAGGCCCCATCTTAAGGCAGCTGTAGAGTCTCCTATCCCTTGCAAGGGCCAAAACCCAGGAGCCCCTGAAACAGCAGCACATGGTTGATGCTAAGACACTGCTTCAGGGAAGAGCACTAACAGCCGTCACGGATGTCAGCAGGAAAGAGGCCTGGTCCCCGCATCCACGGGCCCTGGCCTCCGAGGGGGAGGGGGTCCGCATCCAAGTCAGTAAGCAGGGGGGAGGGGGAGGAGGGGAAGGGGGTGGGTGGGGAGGAAACTGGAGGCTCCCATTTACCCTTCTTTCCTTCCTACCAGGCACACAAGTGTGGGTTCGTGATCCCCAGGACGGTGGTAACGGCGGTTAGTTGGAAGAAGGCTTCAGAAGGGCTTTTCATTTTCCCAAGGCCCAAGCCGGTAACCTATGCAGCTGAATAAATCCAAAACAACAAAAAGTGCAATCTCTTAGGGAGAAAAAAAGCCCAGAGTAATAATATTTAAAAACGGCAAGATCTTTCATTAAAATAAAAAATTCTAGGTTAGAATCCAGGTTTTAGATGAGTCGAAATAAAAGCTGCAGGCTCAGCAGTGAGACACGGGACCCCACACCAGCTGCCTCTGCTTTCTTTTTTGGAGGAAGACAAGGGCAGTCCCTTTGGGAAGGAGCGCCCATGCATGGCGAGGCGGCTGGGTCACCAGGGACCTGCCCTCCAGATGGGCCCAGAGCCAGCAACTGCTGGCAGGCACTCCCTGGAAATGGCTTCTTCTGAGGCCAAGGACAGTCCCCTGGTGCATTTCATCTCCCTCAAAAGCTTCTGCCTTCTATCTCTGGCATCTTCGACAACCTGTTCCGCATCTAACCATGCTGACCTGGACTCTGGGCTCCTGGGCGGGGGCAGAGGGGAGAGGTGGGAGTGGCCAGCAAGCACAGTAGGCACTGCCCTTACCCTGAGAGAAAGGAAGACAAGGGGAAGCCAGAGGCCAGGAAGAGAAGGCAGTAAAGTGCGCGTGTGAGAGCGGAGGTGGGAGGCTGAGAGGCCATTCCCCTAAATCTTCCAGGCCACCCGCTCCTGGAGCTACCCCGTTTGGTCAGGTATTGAAAGTATATTGGGCTCTTCATTACTTTTACCACCCCCGAGAGACTCAGAGGAGGAGCAGAAGTGCAGGGCAGAATCAGCTCTGAAATGTCCTAGCCCCTGTGTTTCAAAAACAAGTCTCACTTAAAGTCACATCTTCTGAAGACAGAAGCAGCCTGCCTGAGCTCTGCCACCGCAGCCTCGTCAGCACGGAAGACGTGACTGAGGCAAAGACGGCTGGCAGAAGCGTCTGGAGCATCAAACCCACTCCTTCAACACCAGGCCCGGGTGCCAGGCTGCCTTGCGACCCTTCACCCACCGCACCCAGCCGGGTGAGGGTGTGTGGGACTCTCAGCCTCTCCCCCAGGTGCCAGAGAAGACCAGGGAGGTGTCTGTCAGCTGTGGACAGGAGGGGACAGGAGGGGAGGCAGAAGTAGGAAAAGCAGCAGTGCAGCAAGCAGCAGGACACTTCCTGGGAACAGTTACTAAGGCACATGACTGTGGTGAGGAGGACCCTCAGGACCAGGGCTCGAGCTGCCTGCAGCTGCCTGGGGATTTAGTCTGTGCCTCTCAGGTTTCCCTCCGTCACCACGAACCCAGAACGGGGCAACATGCCCTGACTGCCAGTGACCGGATGGGCAGCCCACGGCACTTCAGCAATCTCCTGTCCCAGGGAGGACTCACCTCGGGCCTCTGTGGGCAGCAAGAGAGCAGGCGCTGCCCAGGATACAACACAGGAGGCAGCATGCAACTTCCCCTTGTACTCCAGGGAAAGAAAAATGGAGGCCAGGGAGGCCAGGGAGGCCGGCGCTGAAGGAGGAGGCAAGAACTTGCATATTAGGAAGACAATCATCATCAGCCACCTTCCCGCCCTCCCTTGGGATCTTCTGGATGATTCCTGGAAACTCGATTCAGCAGGGCCAGGAGGCAGCCCCTCTGAGCTAGATAGCCGGGTGCTGGGACGGCTTTGGCAGGATTCCCCACATCCTCCATCCTCAGTCAAGGAAATGTGCCATCAGTGTCAACCACGGGCAGGTCCGGAGACCCACACGCTTGCTCCAGTTAGAGTCGTTCTCGTCTCCCCGGCTCTCACTCTTGGATCTGCTCCCGGTAAGGGCAGTGGTACCAGCCCTCAAAGGAACAAGCCAGCCCCAGGCCCAGCCCTTTGTGTGGCAGGAGGCAGCAGTGCAGCCACGAAGGCAGAGAGCAACAGGCCTGCGTGACGGCGAAGCTGGACAGGGTGGGGGGAAGGCACAAGTAAACACAGCGGCTCTCTGGCCCACATGGGCTGGTGGAGGCTGCCGTCAAACAGCTGGCCGGAGGGGACCCAGAGCGTTCAGGGTAAGGAAGGGTTCAATCCAACACATTCAAATATGTCCCAGACACAGATGGGAAGGCTGGGCCAGGCAAAAAGCCAGCTCCTCCAGCTGTCCAGCAGGCAGGTGGCGAGAATCTTCCTTGAGTTTCCAGCGAGGTGGGCCTGCAGGCCCTCAGAGATCCACAGATCCACAGGTGGCAGCTCAGATATCGGGCAGGGCGGCTGGAGTACAGGGCGCTCACACCCACAGGGAGGGAAGGAGGGCGGAGAGGGCCATTGCAGAGAGGAGAGAGGCCAGTGGCAAGCCTCATGCTTCTTTCAACAGTGGGATATCTGCAGGGAGAGAAGGAAGGAAAGCGCAGTGGTTACCACGCCCAATCCCATTACAGGGGTCCCCACGTAGCCCCTAGTTTAAAGAAATAAGTGCACTACTCATACACTCTTAGGGAATCTAAGTCCCTTGCCTCTTCTATAGGCCCTTTTTGCTCATCTCTCCCTCTGCCTCTGTGATAAAATCTTAATGGTCAGTCTGATATTCAAACCCCTTCTGGTCCTACCAACCTGAACCCTCCCCTGCCTTAACTGTTGGTCTGGTTGCATCTCTTTCTGTCCTTAATCTCACCCTATCAGAGCACCGAGCCCTGCTGAAGTCCCACCTCCGCCGCCCCGCCACCCTCCAGCTGTGTGATAGTGAATAAATCATTTCCCCTCTCTGGGTCGCAGTCAACAGGGTCAGACCAATGCCTCAAGGTCCTGACCTCCTACGGTACAGCCAGTCTCAGACAGCAAAGGCATGGCCTGCACCGAACTCCATAACCTGTGTGTTCTGTTTTCTGAACCCCTCATTCTGAAGTGGACCCTATGATTCCTGGTTCCATTACTTCTCAAGTATAAGCCCCATCTTCCCAACAGACTGAGAGTCCAGGCAGATCAAAGAAATATTTATATTTCTTTGGTTATGAATAATTTTTGGAGACTGCAAACTATCAAAATTCACAGTCCACAGTGAAAGTCTCCCCATACAAAGCCCAAAGAGCTACCTGGAGCTGAGGATGAAATCGTATTTTGCAGGCTAACGCCCCAGGTAAGATCTTTCTTTGCCCCCATTACACCAATCGCTAGAGAGGTTCACATCCTTCCTTACTCCCAGCAAGGACCTGGAGCCGCTAGTAATTCACATCAGTGCAGACCACCTACCGTCTGTGTAGTCCTCCGAGGTGAGGGATAAAAGGCTTTGTATGTCACTGTTCTCTGAGTCGGGGGCTTCTTTGTGTGCCAGTTGGCTGTTCCCTGAGCCAGCCACCCAGGAAGAGGTGGTTGCCTGATGCACCATCACAGTCTCTGAGCCCCGGGAGCCCCAGGCTTCACACAGTCCAGACTGGCCCGGGGCCTCCTCCTCTCCGCCTGCAGAGGAGCAGGCCCCCTGGTCCTGCAGCTGCTGCTCCCTTGGCCCGTTCCTCCCACTAGGCCCAGATCCTTCTGACAGCACAATCTGCACTCTGGGGTCAGCAGGCGGCACACAGTGACCAGAACTGCCATATACAGCCTCCTCATAGGACGGCAGAGCAACCTGGACTCCATCCACCATGATAGAGACCTGGTCCCCAGATACCCCCTGGTCACGCCTGCATCAAGAGGAAGAAACGACAAAGAAGAATTAAAATACACACAGAGGCCAATAGATACCAAAGCACTAACAACAACAAACATTTGTGAGCACTTACTATGTGGCAGACACAGCACTAAATGCTTTACATATTTTATCACACCAAATCCTCACCTGAACCCTTTCAGGTAGAAATTCACCAAAAATGCAAATGAGGCTCAGAGAAGTTAAATAACTGCTCACAGCCACACAGCTGGTAAGGGAGGAAGCTGGCGTTTGAATCCAGTTCCACCTGCTTCCAGAAACTGTTCTTAACCTCTAGGTACACAAGCCCCGAGCTCTCTGGTCCTGTGCAAAACTAGGAATCTAGAGACCTGGAAATAAAGCCATTCATTCAGCACAGCTAGAATAGGAAGTGAGAAAATGATGACTGAACATACCTGTGCACATACTCAAACCATTGCCTACATACTTAAAAGAGTACATTGAATGATATGTAAATTATATCTCCATAAAGCTTTTATTTAAAAAGTAGAGGAGAAAGAAGCACTATGGTCTTGAAATGGGACAATGGACTCCAACTCAGAAGAATTTTGTTCTTCTGACTCAGTCACTTTGCTTGCCTTTTATTATTATTTTTAACTTTGTAAACTATTATATGTGAATTATAACACACATATAGAAAAGAACACATAGAACAATGTATAACTCACTGGTCATCCCAAGGGTAGCACTGCATGACCCCTACCCAGGTCAAGAAAGGGAACACTGCTGGCTCCCCAGACACCCCTCATTCCTGGCCCAACCCCTTCCCGTTTCCCCATCACTGTAAGGAACTGGTATCCTAACTTCCACGCGAATCACTCCTTTGCCTTTTATTTTAAAAGTTTTACTGCCTGCACATGAATCCTCCCATACCATCATTTAGTTCTGCATTTCTGATCTTTATATGAATGGGATACACAGTAAGTTTGCGTGTGTGTATGTGTATGTGTCTTCTTTTAGTCAGCATTACATTGGTGAGATTTATTCACGCAGACACCTTTCTGGGATCGTTCGTTATGCAAACACGTTGTTATCTGAACCATTCTGAAAGTAAGTTGAAGACACTGAGTACACACCTCTCAAAAACTTTGTCTCCAAATAACTGCAATATCATTACATACTGGAAATTTAACATCGGCATGATACTGTAACACAAATTTTCCCAACTATCCACCAACATACCCATTTCAGCTGTGGTTTATTCTCATCCAGGACCAAATTAAAGATCATGCACTGCCTTTAATTGTCCTGTCTCTTTTATCTGCTATCATCTAGAATAGTCCTGTATAGCTTTTCTTTCATGACAATGACATTTTTTATAGACTGCAGGCCAGCTGTCTCCTAGAATGTCTCACACTCTGGACTTGTCTAATTGTTTCTTTGGGATTAGATGCAGGCCAGTTCTTGACTAGATTACTGCATAGGTGGTGTGCCCTCCTCATGGGAGACGTATGGTCTATGGTTGGACTGCACTGTTACTAGACTGCGATTAGTTCCAATCTCCTTGTCTGTACTTGGAGATAAAAATCTGTGCTACCCAGTTCAAATGGTGTACACACTTCAAGGACAACAGAAGTGGCGCTCGTAAAAGTACGGAGAGGTTTCTGGAAGGAGGGCAAACTTTCATGGCAAGGTGGCATAGAAAAAGCAGTGTGCGTTCTGCCATGTGCTTAACTTCTATTCAAAATAAATTTTTTTTGTTTAAAAAATAATACATAAACACAGTACAAAATTTAAATAAGGTCTCATCTGAAAACCAAGTCTCCCTTCTACTCAAGTCAGGCAAAATCAGCCAGTTACTTTTAACAGTCTTACTAGTTAACTACAAGGCGGGGAAACTCCAATGTGAATAAAATGCTAAATAGATCAGCTTGCCTTTATGTGGAAATAACTGATTCCTTCAAGTAAACACTCCCTTCCAAATACTCCTTATTCTACTAACCACTTAACAACCTTTAAAAATAGCCGCTACCCTCCTCTTCACTCCCATCCAACAAAACAAAATAAAAAGATCACACAGAGTACACAAAGATTAAACTGAGCTCGGTCCTTGTCTGTAAATCCCAAACAAGCAGCCTGTTATGTGACGTGGTTCCGCCTGCTCCTTCGCCCCTCCAGCCGGGGTGACAACTGTGGCTGCCGGAGGGCTCTGAGTGAACAGAAACTGGGCGCGAGGGGGAGCACGCCACCGCAGGGGCCCCGAGGGCCTGGGAGGGGGGCCATCCCCAGGGATCCCCTCAGGCCGCTCCCCACCGTGTGCCGACCCCCTCCCCAACCACGCCCACCCAGTCTGGGGTGATCTGCGGCTAACGGCTAACGCACTCAACTGGAAAACAGTCGGGCAAGAAGACCTCGTCCCCTGTTTCTCGTATGTGGTATAGTGCGCTGGCTGCGTGTCCCAGGTGCACCTTAGAACCAACTGAAGAGCTTTGCAAACCACTACTGCCAGGATCTCACTCTAAACCAATCAGAATGGCTGGGGATGGGGACCCAGGTGTTGGTATTTGTTTTCAGCTCCCAGCAGGAGTCTCTGCGTACAGCCAGGACTGGAACCCAGGTACACATGGCAGTGGCTTGTAGAGATGAGCCTGCACCAGCCTCACCTGGAGGGCCTGTGGGGCCCTGCCACTGGGCCTCCGCCCCAGAGTTTCTCACTCAGTTGGTCTGGGGTAGGGCCTAAAAACGTGCATTCCTAACGCCCTCATGTGATACTGATGCTGCTGGAACCACACTTTGAGAACCACTGACGTAGGGAAAAGGACATGATTTTGGAGTTGGATAGATGAGTTCAAAACTCAGCTCTGTCATCATCTAGAGCAGGGGTGTCCAAACTTTTGGGGTCTCTGGTCCACACTGGAAGAAGAATTGTCTTGGGCTCCATATTAAATACACTGTGACAGGTGAACACAAGAACCATCTCACAACGTTTCAACTAAATTTACAATTTTGTGTTGGGCTGCATTCACAGCCATCCTGAGCCGCATGTGGCCTGCGGGCCACAGGTTGGACACTCCTGAAGAGGGATGACCTTGAGTAAATGATTTAACCTCTCTGAGCCTCAGTTTTCTTATCTGGAATGTCCCTGTGAGGATCAAAATAATGTCTGCAAAGCAACAAGCACTGTGTCGGGCACATTCAGGACATGAAAGAGCTCTTCCCTCTCCCTGGGCACCCACACCAGTAGAGGCTGGTAGACAGGTCAGCAACCCTCTGCCAGTCAAAGGCCAGTCCCCACTAAGATACCTGCCACCCTGGGCTCACCTGCTGTGATGGAAAGACTTCAGTTTTGGCTGCAGCAGCACGAACAGCACCACAAGGAGGAGAATGAGGGCCACGGAGCTGGCAGTGGAAGCCACTATGGACAGCGTGGGGGTCCCGAGTGACGTCTTGGTGTCTTTCTCTACAGAAATAAGCCATCACAAGAAGAGGTTTATATCCAGACACATACAACATGAGTCCCACAGCTGATCTTATCAGGCCCCTACCATACAGAGACACGCCCTGACCAGGGCACTTTCAGGAGTAACAGTGCAAAGCAGTTTATACACACAAGGAAAGGGGCCATTTCCCTATCCCATTCCTGAATCTAATATTCCCTTCGCTGTGGGCCTTTGAGGACCATCTGACACCTTCGCTTCATAAACCACTCCTGACCCTGTCCTCCAGAGGCCAGCTGGTGGACATCAACCATTTATAGGAACATGCCGGTCCACCATTTTAAGTCCCACTCATCTTTTTCCCCATGTGACAGAAAGCTGTATAAGAACTGGGCTGTACTAACCCCCTATTCTAAGATCTTATAGCTTTAGTTATGCTTGGGCCAGTCCCCAGCCTTCTCTGGGTGTGATGGCCTCAGAGCCCAAGTGGGAAGCACAATGATGGCTATATGACACCTACTTTCCTGCAGGCGGCTGGATTTCCTGTCATGCATGTGAGGAGAGGGGGGGAGGTGTGTCCAGCCAGACTGTAGCTCCATAACAAAACAGTTCATTACCATTCAAGAAAAAATAATATAAAAGAGACACTACAGAAGATGTTAGCATTGTGCTCATGTGTCAGCAGAACTCGGTCAAAGGTCACCAGCACTCAGCCAGGCAAACAAGAGACCACGAGCAACAAAGGGACCTTACATAGCAGAACAGATGTCTCAGTAAAGCTACTGAGCCCCCCAGTGCCTCAGCTGAACCCCATGGGACAGGCACCAGCAACCTCAAATGTCCTTCACAAAGACATGAAATCCCAAATGAAGGGAAGTTGCAGGGCATCGAAGGGGCTATATATACTGCCCCACCCCACAGGATGGTCAGGAGGAAGCAGGCACCAGTTCCCTCGGGTTAAAAGAAAATAGAACCCCCTTCCCATCTGCCACACTGACCCTCGTTAAGATGGCAGCTGATCTCCATGGCTGGTTTCCATTCACCATTCTTACACGTCAGGTATTTGTAATCGCCTTTTAACATGTAGCCTTCAGCACACAGGTACTCGATGACACTGCCAGAGTTGAGGGGGTCTCTGCAGGGCCGAGGGTGGCAGACGTAGCCACCATTCTCTGGCTCCGGGGGCAGGGAACACACTGCAAAGACAAAGAGAGAGCGACGGTAAGGTGACGAGGTCTTCTGGTGGGAGTCCCCTCAGTGACTCAGCGGCCTGCCCCGAAGGCCTCGACAAGAGACACACGAGGAGCACAGGGCCGGCCCTTGGAAAGGCTGCTGGCTCAGCCCTGGAAACGCAGGTTGCCACTGAGAGAGGGAAGGGCACCACAACAATGGAAATTTGGCTGCTTGCAACATTTCCCCTTCCCCTCCTCACTGTTCCTTGAGAGATCTGCACCCACAACTGAATGGTAGACTCTGACAAAGTCCTGAACATACAGAGATCTGGCGCATAATATGGTTGTAACAACTCCTACTGAAACACACAAGTCAGTGAAGGATGATAAAATACTCTTAGCCTCCATGTGGGAAATGTTAGCCTTGTTTCCAGGATCCACACCAGAAAAGACCTCCACCGTGTGCTAACAGCAAGCCTTCCCTGCCGAGGAGAAACTCCTGAGGGATTTCCTGGGGGCGTCCCCACTTCCTGACCGAACAGTCACTGGCATCACTTGTCTCCAGCCCACAGTGAGTCCCCCATTTTTACTGAGGTAGGACTGTCTAGTTTTAAAAGCACTTTCCACAATACATTATACGGTGCTGTATTATGGAACTGTACACTTGAATCTTACATAATTTTATTAACTAATGTAACCCCAATAAATTCAATAAAAATATTTTAAAAATAAATAGAAGTACCTTCACCCCCATGTTATTAATCCGCTCTGATAACTCCGTGCGGTAGTTGCCGTGACCCCCTCTGAGGATGAGGGCACCGAGGCCCAGAGAAGTTAGATGGCTCTCAGCCAGGAAACGCAGACGGCACAGCAGGCCTGAGAGCGGAGTCAAGTCTTCTGGTTCTAAAACCTGTGCTCCTTTTACCGGCAGAGACTGCTTCGACCCCTTGAGCTGAGGAAGCCTTTACAAAGTGTATCGAGTGCATGATTGAAGCAGGCCAGTGAGGGCCAGGGCAGGCAGTGCCTGAGCAGGCAGGAGGCCCAGGGCAGGTGAGCCGCAGCGGTGATAAGCCAGAGGGGCTGGAAGGCAGAGCGTCTGAGCAGCCCGAGGGCGGGGGAGGGTGGCCTCTGGTTCCCCGGCCTGCCCTCTAACGCTGGACAGACGCAGCAGAATTGAAGTCCCCAGGAAGTGAATTAAGAGGTGTGCTTAGCCAAAATAGGAGGAGCACAGTGTGGGCACTCAGGGATCATTGTTTGGGAGACTAAGCTGGGGGAGAAGACCAGCTGGCAGGATGGCCAGGCATCCACGGACTTCAGCTTCCCAAAGCCTTACTAATACAAGATAAAAGTTGTGTCCACACCAATACCTGCCCCTATTCTGAAAACCACAAGGACATCGGTATGAGAACAGAACTGTAGGTTTCTTTCTTTCCACCTCCTCTAACAGATCTGGAGTCTCTGTCTGTCCCAGATAAGGTGATCCCTCACTCAGAGGCCCACCCACTACTCTCCCACTCAGAGCAGCCCTTGCAGCCTCTCACCAAATACCACTTCCCTTCAACCTACAAACTGCTATTAAGCAAGGTGACTGTCGGGCAGGCTGGGGGGTGGACACCACGTCTAAAAGGAGAAGATGGCTCCCTGTCCTCAAGCTGCTTATCACTAAGATGAGGACACATAGTTTTTAAAGAGCTGTTAACAAAACAAAGCTGTGGTAGGTGCCACAGCAATCAGAAGGGGACGTCGGGGCAGCTTCTCTGAAAGTAGTACTTGAGCCCACATAAGTCCCCTCCGTCCCCTCTCAAGACACACCTTCTGCAGACTGCTCCCGAGCCACCCACCTCGCCCAAAGTCTTCAACAGGAGGGAGACAGATGCAAACACTCCTGGTACCCCTTTATACTTCGGCCCAGAAATTCAAAGAGCTGGCCAGCTGAATTCCCAAAGAAACCTCAGCAAACAACTTCACCCATCACTCTGTCCCTCCTTTGTTCAGGCAACAAGCCCCCCACAGATCCCGCCTGCTCCCCTCTGACTGTGTCTAACTGGTTCATTCCCTCAGCATGATTAGTGCTGAGCACCCCAGGACAGCCCCTGAAAGCTGGCAGGACCCACACCCGGGTCCACTGTGCTAGGTAAGACGGCCTTGGGGGAAGAGCTGCTGATTCTAAAGCCATTCATGTTTTGCTGGGAATTTCTGTCCTTAACATCCACATCTTCACAGAATCTTTGAGCGAGACCCTGAAGGTCACTTAGCACTCATAAGTGAAAAAAGTGAGGTCTACAAAGAAGTGACTGGCAATTCAATTTCATTTCAATTCAACTAGTATTTATTGACTACTGTGTAGGGGTTATTTGTCCCACGCTCTGAAAAAGGATAAATACATATGCACTTTGGGTACCTGCAGCCAAACAGGGGTATGACCAATAAGTACACACATATTTTGAAAGTTGTTTTCTTTATGGTACCTGATGTTGTGTTTTGTTTAAGGACACTTCCCTACTCTGAGGTTATAAAAACACTATCCAACATTTATATATTAGATCTTTGTTATGAAGATAATACTTTTATAGGAAAAAAAAACCCACAGGAAGAATATATCCAAGGAATACAATTTTAAAACTAAGATGAGTGCACAATCGAAAGTAAGCCCTCCTCCTGGTCCTGAGTCACTTGGCCCCTCTCTCCAAAGATCCTGTGCCAGTCCCTGTATTCCTCCAAAGATACTCTGCACAGGTTTGTTCTCAGACATGTCAGAGAATGTGACTGGTGCCACAAGAGAGGGAGCTCAAAGCAGGAGAGATCCCGTCTTGTGTGGGAGAGATGCAGAAAGGCTCGCGGAAGCAGCAGCATTTCAAATGGGGCTTTGATTCCTTTGGAGAGGAGGGGTAGTCTGAAGCACATGCACGGACTGAGGAAAGCAAAGTTAAACCCAGCTTAAAGGGGGGCCTCAGCAGGGTCTTGAGAAGGGCAGAATTGTTAAGAGGAGCTGAATTAGATAGATATAAGGTAGACCGGAGGGAGAGAGAGCCTTTATACTAAGTCGATGGTATCACTACCCTAATATGGTAAATAAAATGTACAAAAATTCTTCTGCGTTGACCTGTGAAGGTCATACAAAGGAAACAAACTAGAGTATATGAGGTTCAGCATCACAAAGAGGCTGCCCCAGACCAAAAAAGAAATGAGAAGGACGTGTAAGGAAAAAAAAAAAAAAGCATTTAAGACACCAAGAACACAAGAAGAAAAATGGCCCTCTTGCCTAGAGAGCACAGCGGAGAGTCCTGGCAAAGGGTGGGTGTTGGAGAGGACCCACTCAGTGATGCCTGGGGTACACGGGAAAGGGGAGATCGGGAATAGCAAACAAGTTATCCAGGGGCTTCCTGAAGCTACTGTTTTGGGCAAGAGGCTGACTTAATCTGAGCATCAGGCTCATTTCCTGACAACTCCAGGTCCGCAGAGGGAGTTTCAAGCTCTGTTCTTAACCCCAAGAAGACAATGAACTCATCTGATTTGGCAAAGATGCACAACTTTTAAAAGAGAGGGAGAAAGCCAGAAGATAGAAATTCTGCAGGAAAAAAAATCAATTCTCCTTAGCTTCCTTCTCTGTTTTCCATTATCTCTTACAACCACTTAGGCCTCCAGTGAGCACAGGAAGCAGCGATGTAATTCCTGGGGGGCCCAGCAGCGAGCCTGGTGCACAGCGGTCATTCAGTGACAGACCATCCCACCAGCTGGCGAGGGTGCGGACGGGGAAGCGAAATGATCCGGCAGATGCTTCCACCTCCGCGTCCTCACTGCAGCCTCAAACCCTCAGTAGAAACCAACAAGAACCCTCAATCTGCTCTTCAAATGTTTTTTGCATTTGTTGTTTTGGAGACCAGCTTTTTTAGGAGGTGGCAGCAAATTGAAACAGAACAAACCTTCAATAAGATTCCATAAAAAACCTATCAAAACAAGCTCCAGGAAAGACCAGGGGGTCACAATGTTCAGTTTAGCAAACTGAACAAATACTTGAGTTCCTTCAAAGCAAGTGTGGGGAACAGGGCGTGTGAAGATCAGCTTGAGAAGGGGAAGTAGACTTTTCAATACTTAGCACATTTTTAAGAGATCTCAGCAAAAGACAGTTATCAAGAACACACGGCACTCCCACACAAAGTGACTGAGGGTGTAAGGAACTGCGTCAGTGTTCATGCGCATGCCTGACATAATGCAGTTTTAGACAAAATCTGTGCAGTAGAACTCAACAGGGCACAGAGAAACAGGTGCTAAAGAAAATTCGGCTGGGGAAAGATTTCCTGGGAATTTAGGGGAGAAGAAAAGAGGTCCCTCAAACCCAGCTACCAACGTGGCAGTTGTAATCATCAGGGACACAGCTGAGGCAGTATCGTAAATGTCTCTATTTGGCTGTAATTCCACCAAATGATTAAAGCTGGCCTCACCACACAAGATGCCCTAGGAGGGCCGTGAAACTGAATGTGACAGGACTATGCCCTCAAAAAGTTTACAATCTACGGAGGACGCAGGCATGCACACAGCAAACTCCAAAGTAAGTCCAGGAAGGAAATGTTCAACAATGAGCTTTTCTATTAGCCTGGTTGTCCTTCTGGGCAGAGACTTCTTGATCAACTCAGCACCACCTGCAACCAGAGGAGGGCGAGAGCTCCAGGCAAAGACAAGAAACAGAGCAAAAAAATATGGAGGGCAGGAAGCAACAGAAGGACATGGCACATCTAAGAGAGCACTGTCCAAGAGAAATACGTGACCACACGGGTCATTTAAAATTTTCTAGTAACCACATTAAAAAAGTAAAAGAAAACAGGTAAAATTTATTTTAATAATATATTTTGTTTAACCCAGTACACATGAAAGATTACTGGTTACACCTCAACATGCAACTGACATAAAAATTTATTAATGAGATAATTTATGTCCTTTTTTTAAAAGTAGGTCTTTACACTTACAGCGCATCTCAAGTCAGATTAACCGCATTTCAAGCGCTCAGCAGCCACATGGGGCAAGTG